ATGGATTTGAGTGCCCTTACCTAGGATGACACTTAACTCTGTCCCTGGCAGCATGTAGGGAGGGAAGGAAGGAGTTTTGACATCCAGCTGCTCTTCATTAGCCAAGCTAGTTAGCCCTTCCAGAATCTGTTTCTGCGTGAAAGTTTGAACTTCTGTCTCGGAGTGCATGGGTTTTTTTTTTACCAAATACATATATTTTTGAATAATCATATTCCACAATAATATAAAGATTACTTAAATTAATTTTACTTTACTTAAATTTTACTTAAAGTAAAAAGAGAAAACACAAGGTTTTCAAAAGAGAAACTAATGTCTTCACATAAATCCTGCTATATGAAACAGCTACACCCTAAGCAGAATTTAGAAAAATCAACAGAATTGGTGCAGAAGATATGAAAATACCTGGACTAAGATGATGGATTAGCTTTTTGCTTCCTTAAAAAAAGTATGAAAAGGTACTGGAGTAAAAGCAAAGTTTTGATGTATCAGTGGGAGTAAAATAAAGTAAAATAGTCATAAGAGAAACTTTCCTGATGGTGACTCACGCAGTGAAGTCCTAGATACACTGACATCAGCATTAGCAAATTTTAACAGTGTTTTTCTTCAAGATGGATTCTGCTAAGAGAAAACAAGTTAATCTGCAGATTCAGTGGTTTCTCGTAAAAGAGATAACGCAAAAAGAATGTATCGCTTGAATTTTGTGGTTATTGGATTTTATTTTTTGTTTATTAATTAATCACCACCACTTCGGGGTTCTTAATGTAATGCTCAAATCTTCTGTACTTTTTGTTCCAGTTCATTATTGCAACAATATGAATTATCCTTTTACCAGCAAGAGTCAATTTAACTCAGTTCCAACCCTTTTAACTTGTTACAGATGGATCAGAAAGTCAGAGTTAGAAAAGGAGCTAAAATATGACAGCATGACGTGAAAGTTTTATTAGCATAAGACTGTTTCTGGGTTATTCATTGTACTATCAGATTTTCAACTCGCCATTGTGGCAACAGGTTAGCAGCAGCCTTATCACCGCGCGTGGCACTATCCCACAGTCGGACCCCAATTTGGTCCCATCTTTCCAGATTAAAAACATTCTTACTATTCACCGAAGGATCGTCTTTAGAAGCCCATGCAAGAACCTTTTGTCGCTCTTCTTCACCTAATTTTTTTCTTTGCGGTTTCAAGTTTTTAGGAGAAGCTTCTAAATCGTCCTTTTGTTCCTTCATTAGGTATGAACCCATAGTTCCCAGCCGCTTACCTCTTTCCTTTCAAGAGGCTTTTAGTGTGCACACAAAGTAAGCTTCCTTTCAGCTTGATCCTTACGCTCCCTTTCAGCGTGATTCCCGGGAGTTCAGCTGGGCGCTGCAACCGGAGAGACAGCTAGTCTTCGTGCCCCACGGTGGGCGGCAATTGTTGCACCTTGTGAAGAAACGGACTCAGTCTGGGGTGCAGAGTGAGACAACTTTATTTCCAAACCGACTTCTTTTTATACTTTCTTAACACAAGTGTTGCAAAGCGCACAACCAATCAGCATCTGGCCACCTGCGCGGTTGTCTGGCTTTGTTTCTTTTCTTCTGGCAAGACACGTCGCACACGAGGCAGGGGGAGGTGTTCCTCAGTCCTCGTCTTTCTCGGCTCTGTCCCCCATCTGCTGCAAAGACTGACACCCTTGTGGTTAACTATCTGCTAACAAGGTACTATTGTCTTTGAACAAGCCTCCACAATATTCCACAATAATATAAAGATTACTTAAATTAATTTTACTTTACTTAAATTTTACTTAAAGTAAAAAGAGAAAACACAAGGTTTTCAAAAGAGAAACTAATGTCTTCACATAAATCCTGCTATATGAAACAGCTACACCCTAAGCAGAATTTAGAAAAATCAACATAAATTAATTTTACTTTACTTAAATTTTACTTAAAGTAAAAAGAGAAAACACAAGGTTTTCAAAAGAGAAACTAATGTCTTCACATAAATCCTGCTATATGAAACAGCTACACCCTAAGCAGAATTTAGAAAAATCAACAGAATTGGTGCAGAAGATATGAAAATACCTGGACTAAGATGATGGATTAGCTTTTTGCTTCCTTAAAAAAAGTATGAAAAGGTACTGGAGTAAAAGCAAAGTTTTGATGTATCAGTGGGAGTAAAATAAAGTAAAATAGTCATAAGAGAAACTTTCCTGATGGTGACTCACGCAGTGAAGTCCTAGATACACTGACATCAGCATTAGCAAATTTTAACAGTGTTTTTCTTCAAGATGGATTCTGCTAAGAGAAAACAAGTTAATCTGCAGATTCAGTGGTTTCTCGTAAAAGAGATAACACAAAAAGAATGTATCGCTTGAATTTTGTGGTTATTGGATTTTATTTTTTGTTTATTAATTAATCACCACCACTTCGGGGTTCTTAATGTAATGCTCAAATCTTCTGTACTTTTTGTTCCAGTTCATTATTGCAACAATATGAATTATCCTTTTACCAGCAAGAGTCAATTTAACTCAGTTCCAACCCTTTTAACTTGTTACAGATGGATCAGAAAGTCAGAGTTAGAAAAGGAGCTAAAATATGACAGCATGACGTGAAAGTTTTATTAGCATAAGACTGTTTCTGGGTTATTCATTGTACTATCAGATTTTATGAATATCAAAGACTGAAGAAAAAATCTCGTATTCATTTACAGTATCAAAAAAAAAGTCCTGCTAGCTGAAAAGAGCTGTAGCTCATTTCAGTCAGGCTTCATGCAGTTGAGGAGCCATAAAAATGTCTAAAAATAACATGCAACATTTTCCTCAGTCTAAAATGGTACTAGCAAGTTCAGATATCTCACTGTTTTTCACATGGCTGAGAGTGAGCGCTGGCTCTCTCTGGAAAATGGAAATCTCTCTTCCTTGCTGGCAGCCTCCCCCTTCCAGCCTGGAGCCTTCGTGAATCTTGGCAGGGGGAGCAGCAGCCTGCAGAGCAGAGCGCTACCCGTGCAGCGAAGTGGGAAGCGTTACCTACTGGGCACGTGTTATTTCTTTAAACACCAGCTGTTTGGATCAGGTTGCAGTTTTTGTTGTAGGAAACAGTTCCAGAAAGAACACAGTGGCAGTCAAAAGTGCGGGATAAAATCATTTATCATGTGTCCCTATAGCTTACTATGTATGCACTGAGAACCACTATGAAAGGAAAATATAACATGCGTATAAAAATCAAAGCTTGACAGAACTATCTAGTTTGCCAGATTCCCAGGGGTCTCTTGATAGGACAATGCAGGGGTCAGCTGTTCTTACAGTGCCTTTTTCCTGAAAAGCTGCAGCGAGTTTATTTCGGGACCGATGGATGAGAGTTTCCTTTCAGCTGGGGAGGACACTCCCTCTGCAGATAAGAACATCTGCAAAGCGCCGTGGCAGGGCTAGTGCGTGCTGCAAAGTTCACTTCTCCTCAGCAGGACCCCTGGGCCTGACTGTTCTGGCCACTTTTTGCACCGAAGACAAGACATCCGATCCTCAACCCTTCTAGCCCATCGCTATAAAACCCCCTCTGCTTGCAAGGAGTCAGCCAGTATAAGAGCATTCTCAGCATTATTATGCAGCAGGCCTTTATTGTTAGCAGGGTAAATAAATAATTTTCTGCCAAGCAATTAGCATTACTTAATGTTCAGCTCATGCAGATGTGTCAACTGCGCCACTGGTCTGTGTATCGGGCGCAACCTTGTTGTTATATAAACATAATTACAGAGCAGTGGGCTAAGTTCCTCCCTGCTTAGCGCTCGCAATGTTTCACCAAGCTCTGAGCAGGAAGCAGAGCTTCGGCTCCTGCACGCGCATGCCGCAGTCTGCCCAGGAGCAAACACAGCTTTGTAGGTCAGCAGCTCATCGGTTACAACAGCAGCCACACCTCCGTTCTCCAGATGCTACCTTAGGGAGCCATCACCTATGGATACACTCCTATCACTAGCGATAGAGCCCATCTCCCAGCTTCAAAAGGCTTCCCAGGAGAAAACTGTCATTAGTAGATCCGACAATTTAAATGGAATGTTGGACCTTAGAAGAGTGTGGTTCAACCTTCACGGGTGCTGCTGTAGCAATTCCTTGCCCCTAAGCAGATCTCAGCTGTTCTCCTAGGCATGCTTCACCCACCTCCCGTGCTGCAGCACCCCCAGAGGCTTCACTTCCAGCTGCTGGGCTGTTTGCAAGTGCAGGGAGAGCATTTGGCTCTTACCCCAGCATGTGCCACTCCAGCAACTGGTAAGTCCCTCAGGAAAAGAGCAAGGGGAGCCAGATGGGTCTGGCCCAGGAACTTCAATGAGACTACGCTGGGCTCCTGAATGGCCACCAAAAGGCTACTCTAGATTTATCCCTCTAAGTGTATACAGGATCGAAACATTTATGTATAGCACAACTGATGCTAAAACTTGTGGGAGAGATCTTAAACCTCACATGTGAGGCCTTATGCCAAACTCCGACTGCTAAAGACGAGATAAAGCCTGAGGGTGAGGGCAAGAAGCGCGCTCACCACTGCGGGCACCAGGAGCAGCATAGCGGGCTGATAGCTGGGCAGAGTTGTTACTCCCTGGAAAGGAGGAGAGATGTCTGCAAAGAACAGGAACCAGGGTAGCTGGACACGCGGCAATGAAAGGAAAGGGAGTCTCACAAGAGAGTCCAAGGTCTGTTTTTCAAAGGCACTGGCCATCTGCAGAGGCCGTTTTCTTCAGTGAGCTGCGGGTTCTCAGTCTCCAAGGGCTAGGAAGTGAAGGACTGGAATTCAGCAGCTGCCGAGTGCTTTTTGTTTTGTTATAGCTCAGCCTTCTTGCCGAGGAACCCCATTTCCAGCACAATTTCTTCTATGGCGCATCCCTGGAAGCCCCTTTAGCAGGAGCACTGGGAAAGCCCCAGGGATGATGACACCTGTATTCGCCACATGCCACCTAACAGCCTTCCTGCTCCTCTCAGCAGTGGCACTGATACAGCAGACGAATCACACCAACAGCTTACTGCCACAAATCTGCCTTCCACACAGTTTTGCAATTATTTAGAAAAGCCCATGGTGTAGGAAAGCCCATGTATGCGTTGTAGGGATTACTTTCCTTACATGCCAGTGCCTACATCAAAATGTAGTAGTAGATAATTGGCTGATATAAATTACTGAGGCCATCCTAGCCCCTTACTGTGGTAACTCCTCATCTCTGAAACACACACCCGTGAGGGTACCGTGCCGGTGAGTAAGGGTAGTGCTGATGAATCTGGCAGAAAAAGTGGGTAGTATCATTCACTGCTTCTTGTCCTCAGAATCACAGAGAATTTACAAGTGCTAAATGTCCCAATTGTTCTTTTATTCCAACAACAGAAGAATGTCAATAGGTTTTTCCTTAACAAAAACAGGGTTCAGATGAAGAAAAACTCTTAAAAAAATGAATGCAATATCTCCTTGGGAGACTGAAAATGAAGTAGTTTTTAGCCAAAGCATTCTTGTTCTTACACAAATAGGAATTAATTAAAATAAAACAGCTCATAAGTGCTGGGCTTTGGGCAAAAGTTTTATTTTTATTATAAAAACAATGAACATTTGAAATGCTGTAATATGTTGAAATAAAAAAAAAGATTATACAGACATTGAAAAGTTTGCAAGCACACACAGAAAAGTAAATGAAATGTGGAGTCTATAAATATTTAGCTCCTTCATTCTTCCCCCTTTTTTTTGATGACAGAGGTTATCTTCAATGCTACGTAAAGACCTTGGGCAACATCCTGGCCACAGTGAGGTCAGTGGATGTTTTCCACTGGCTTCAGAGTTAGAATTTCACTCATTATCTATGTGCTCATTAAGCCATCCTCTGTATCTTTGAACTTGCTATACTTGTTTCTCTGGGGAGGCCGTGTATCTTCTTGTTACACATTTGCTTTGAACCAGTTACTTTCCAGATAAAAAGATCATTTATTCTATTCAGAAATTGCCTGTATTTTTCTTACAACAAGATGTACAGATCCAAGGCAGTGGGCTGGCAAGCGGGATCAGTTGGGACCTATTGGACTCACTTCACCTTGGTGAAAGAATCCTGCTTTGCTGCACTTCGGGGCACACTGAAAAAGCATCCCAAAAAAATCACAGCAGAAGAGAACTGTTCTTTTGCATACAGTAAGGAAATGTAAATACATAAATATATTGCTGCTGTGGTTAATTGCTTATTTGAAGGACACACCTGCTTTGGGTGCTATGGGACAGATGAAGGGTGTTAGCTAACACCCTAACGATGTTGGGGTTTAGGTAGAGCTCAAGCAAGCGAGTGGCAGTGTCTGGGTAGTTGAGCTGGCAGAAACACAGAGGTCTCCTCTGGCGCAGCAGTGCCAGCATGAGTGCTGCTCTGGAAGCACAAAGCTGTTAACATCTATGGTTACTCAGTGTCCTACAATGAAATGCATTTCAGAGCATCACCCCAAGAACACAAGCATACCTTTAGCATGCGTTAGGAATTGTAATCTTCCCAGTGGATCTCCAGAGGCACAAGGTCAAGTGCAAATGGAGATCTGACAGTTGCCGTGTCCTCCTTTGAGGCAGCACTTCCAAAATGGGGCAGGTTGAGGCACATTCTGAGGACAGGCTGAAGAAACCAGCTACCACCAACGCTGCAGCTCCTCTAGGGATAAAGGGCTTCATTCTTCAGTGGTGTCAGTCCGGTGCTGTTTATAGACCTCAGGATTCAATTGTAACATATCCTCTGCTCCTTGCTATAAGACAATCAATCAGAAATACCTGCTCTTCAGTCAGGATTACATTGACATTAAAAAAAATCACAAATGCAGTTTATATAAGAATATTCAAATAACAAAATTATAAAAAAATCCAAACATCAGATTAGAAAAAACAATTTCAAAAGCTACTTTGATCTATTTTAAATACAACAAATGCAACATGCTTGGGACACACAAACCTGCAG